CGCCGCTGTCACGCCGCCGCTGCCGCTCCCGGGCCGCTGTCACGCCGCCGCCCCCCCGGTACATTGGCCGGTGTTCGCGCTGCTCAGTTCCGCCTGCCTGCCTCCCGCGCGCGTCAAGGAAAAACGTAGAGGAGATCCATCTCACCGCGTTATTTATCAGTGATCATATCAGATCAGATCAATGACACCCCGGCTGTCCAACCGTGAGACCGATGCGCTTGTGCCATGTCACATTTTTGGACAAATTAAACCCTCATTTCACCTCACCTTAAGATACTACAGGTTCAGGCTGCACGATAAGATCCATTTTCTCGCGGCATTGATAATCTGTATTTCATCGCGATATCGGAGCTCTTAAATAACAGGCGCAAAGCATTAGACTCTGAGAATATGTCTCAAACTTACACTCATGGTCCTTTAAGACACACGAGCGTCATCAGTGACAGACACGCACATCAATGACTCCCTCTTCCCATGAACACAAACACACACACACACACACACACACACAGTATTTATTCATGCTGGATTCATTTGCAGAGTTTAAAGATGAACATGAGCAGAGAGACACTGATATTCATTCCCATTCAAATCCCATTCAATAGCATTCAAATGCATAAACAAGACTAGTGATTGACTCAACAACCGGTGCAGAGTGGCCCATAAATGCAGATACAATTTAATGACAGCAATTGAAGTAGCTTAAAAAGTATAAGGGTTGAAAATAAATGGGTTTTCACAGCAATGTCATAGAAGATTTTGTGCCATTGAAGAGTCTTTCAGTGAACAGTTCTTAAAATATCCGTTTTTTTTCTTGGTAAAGAATATTTGGTAACACTTTATTTTACAGTGTCCTTGTTACATATGTTACATGTACTTACCATAGTAATAATTATGCATAATTACAACCTAATCCTACCCTAACCCTATAGTACATGTTAGTTGCTTAATATTACTCAGTACCTAAATGTAACATTGTAACAAGGACACTGTAAAATAAAGTGTTACCGAATATTTTAATAATCTAAAGAACCTTTTTCCACTAAAGAACCTTTTGTGCATTTGAAAGGTTCCCTGGATGTTAAAGGTTCTTCACCATCAATGGCCTTTATATTTAAGAGTGTACTTCACACAATTTTTATTTATAATTCACTCAAAAAGAAACCGAAAATATGTGTTATACATCCATACTGCTGGAGGAACGACAACTCGAGCACGCTTATCAGCCGATAATCTCAAAAAGGCCACATTTTAGGTCTATCACTAAACAAGGCCAAGCTATTGACCTTAGCCTTGATGCATCAAAAATGCTTTGAACATGTTGAATGTTCATAAACACTGACTTTAAAAGCTCTTCAAGCATTAGAACGGTAGAGCATGGCCAAGGGTTCAATTACCAGGGAGTGCATGAACCAATAAAATATGAATGCAATAAGTCACTTAAAGCAACTGCCAAATGCATTAAAATGTACAGTGCACGACTGTAGGATCAGTGATAGCACATCTGGGTTTCCAAATGTTTGCATATTACAGGTCCAAGCTCTAAAATGTTCCAAACATCTGTAAATGACTGATAAACCCAGATATGACTACACTGACCTTTTATTACGCTGGAGTTTATTTAACAGATTCTTGCATGGGTGGGAAAAATGTTTTTGGCCCAACTTTTGCAAGTCACTCTGCACACGTGCCATGTGTATGGCTACATGTGTATGCAAAATGTTCAATCTTGACATTGCATATTCTGGAAATGCCAAAAATGTCTCTCTATTCTGATAAACTAAATACACAGCCTTCCACAGATGAACTGAAAATCTACCCACACTCATGTCTCTCGAAACCCATGTGACTTTTTCCCCATGAACCACAAACTGAGTTATTATAAAAATGTCCGTTCAAAGAAAACATGCCAATCAGTGTTGTAATTGTGCCGTCTATATTAAAACCACTATATTATTTGCATTTTTAATTAAAATTGTACCCATTGTTGCTAATTGATGCTATGTCTTCAAATAAATAAATAGTATTTTTAACTATATATATATATATATGATTAAAAGAGTGACATTGCATTGCAAAAAAGTATGTTATTATTATGTAGCTATATGTTATTATGTTTTCTGGACAAAATACCATGGACTGTTCAATACAGTAAAGCAAACACCATGTAAATGCCATGATATATAAATATCATCCAGTACCACAGCACAATAAATCAAAAATACAAAGGCAGTAATAAAACATGCAGTTGTTAAACATTTATATAACCAGTGGGAAATCTTCAGGCTGTTAGGCTCACAGTCGACACTGGTTAGAGCAATTAAAAGAGTTTTTTTCAGGTTGCAATGCAACATTTTTTTTTGTTTTACACCTCTCCAGTGTTAGAAATGTACGCTCATGGCAGATTCATTATGCATGAACTGTCAATGTGATTTGTTAAGTATGCTTTAATCACCCATTCTTAATGGAATTGCACAGTAGAATTACAAAATTAATTATATTAGCTGTGAAAATTATCCTTCAGGATATCTTATAAGAGTTTAGGGTTGTAGCTGAGATCATTTAACACTCAGCTGGAAGCTTCGGCTGAGGTATTTGTTGTAATCTTTGCTTTCAACAAAACACCTAATCTCTCCATCAGCCAGTGGAGTTCAACAGATTACAACATCTTATCTTCATCAAAGAAATGAAACTTTCCACTGTCCCACAGCACGTTACATTGACTGTTCACTTGACCTTCTGCTGTCTAATACACAAACCACCCATGATCGCCCTCTGCTGGAGAACTTGAATACTGTCCAGGTGAAATGAAGACTATAGTAATCTAGCAACACTTAATGTACAATGTGACAGAAAGAACGGGAACGCGCAGTGTTACAGTGTAACATAAACGTACACCAATGGAAGCTTCAATGGGCCTACTAATAATGACAGCAATGACTCAAAGGAAAACATAAGTGAAAAAACAAAAACATCTAGGCCTACTTTAAAGAACAAATGCTGGGCAAAAAGATTAGTGCTCATCGTTAAGACAGTATTACTTTGCACATACACTAAAGGGAGAGTGGGGTAAAATGTGATACCGCCTTAATCTAGGAAACTGCACAATGATATTTAGACGGTCACGGGGCCAATCAAAGCTACCTGTGATTAAATAGTCTGATTTTTCGTTTTATAATACATTAAATACATTTATTTTATTTAAATTTACATTACATTAATCATGTCAAAGCAAAAGTATTCGTCTTTATATATGTATTATATTATGCTGGTTATTCAGCACTGAATAACAGTTTGTAACATTATTTTAATAACAACAACCAGATATTTAGATGCACATTTCTCAAGTAGGCTATTCCCCATGACTCAACTTACCCCAACTCAAGTTCACTTCACTCTTTTTTTGGCAAAGTCACATTTTAGGGCCCTATATAGATACTTTCTTCTCGTTTCAAGTCAAGTCATATTTTATTGCCTTTATTTCAGCAGATAACAGCAATGCTAAAATACATCTGGTATATTAGCGTTATTTCTTTGTCATTTCTTTTCGCCCAAAGGACAACTTAAATAGTGCCACAACTTACCCCACTCTCCCATACTGTGAACGAACTGAAAGCTGTCATGAGGAGCATTGACTAACGGATTAAGCAGAACAGGTCAAGTCAACTAACATTTCAGCCATTTAAACTTCTTATTAACTGATTAATTTCACTTACAGTAGAGAAGAACAGACCTCAGACTAGAGTACTGTTATTCTTTCAAAACTGCCACATTAGTTAAACTTAATCTACTCTTTAACGCCAAACTAGTTATGAAACGACCTTCGACGGCCAGATAAAAAGCCACGCCGTGTTTTCTAAGAACCCTTTAAACGTGGGATCCTCCGGTTGTGAAGCGATCAAAGTGAAGCTCACCTCTCTCCGTGGTCCGTTGGACAGCAGCTGTGTGCTCGCGCTCATCTCTGTCCGTCCCCGGTCCCGACTGCCCTCAGCGGCTCGGTTACATGAAATCCCGCCTATTTAGACGTAAAACCTCGCGGAAAGCACATTTTGATAGCATTCTCTCCACTACATCGCATCAACAGACAAGGCTGTCTGGGAACTTTTTGAGGTTTTAGGTAGGCGACGTTTCTCTGAACTTATTCACCCACACGAACAGATCGGACAACTGAGCGCGCGGTCCTAGCGCCGCGGGTTCAGCGCGCGCACTACTTGGAGACTAGGGGAATCTCGCGCTCACATTTCTCCTCAAATTGATAATTTGATTAAAGATTATTTTTTAATTTTGTCAACTACCAATAATTATCCGAGTTGTTGATTAAAACTAAAACATAAAAACTATACAAACATGTTTAAAAAAAAAAAAGACAAACATAAAAATACTAAAACTTTAAAACAGAAAATATAAAAATAAAATGAAAAATATTAACACTAATACTAAAATAACACTGTTCCAAACATTTTGCTTGTTTTAATTCCGTATAAGGGCGATGAGTATTGCCATATTATAAATGCAATATTCATAATTATTTTAATTCTAATTAATTGAGAATTTGGGAAAATAGTCTCCTAATGCAAACTTAAAGGTCCTAAAATATCATTTCGCAATATTTTTTCTTTTGATTTTGAGCAGAGATGTGACCCAGACATGAGGTTGATACAACAAAGACAAATAAGCTGGCCACAACAGCTTTTTGTGGTCAGTGATACCAAGGTAACACTGCTTCACAATCACAACACATGGGTTTTTGTTTCCTATAACATAACTAATTATTTGTTGTCCATAGACAAGCATCAGTAAGAAAACTATAAGACTATAATGGAGTTGCACAACTACAGTAGTTCCTTTCTGATAGGACAGGTTTAACTGCAGCCGAAATGCTGCAACATGATCCACAAAACATGTGCCTTTGCAGATATTGTATGGCTACAAGTGTGGAACCTTTTGCACATATGCAGCCTTTAGCAAGCATCGTATACAGTATAATGCAACACTTAATATAAATTTATCAACTGGAAAGCATGATTGTTTTTTATTGTTTATTTGTCCGAGATATCCTTTGTTATTGAATTTCACCGTAAACAACAAACAAAGACTTTCCCAGAACATTAATCTTTAAAATGAACCAACATCTATTTACAAAAGGTCTTCCACTGAAATGATGAAAAAAGTTCATCTAAATAATGCCCGGCATCAGACCAAATTATCACTAAGAAGTCACTCTGTATCCTGACTTTTGACCCAGGCTTGAGGTGATTGGCTCGTTTCAGGATGGGCGGAGTCAGCCTGGCAGGCGTCAGAGAACCGTTCCCGTGCACGTTCCCAGTTCCTCTGGGTTTTGTTTCTGACAAGTGTGGCGTCTTCTACAGACACGGCAGCTCCAGAACCAAGACCAGACTGAGCCTTGCGCATATGCAGCTGAATCTACGACACACACACAAAGAGAAGTGAGTGTAAATCGCATGCACTTATGTACATGACACTGCGTAAACAAACGAGGAGAAACTATATTACCGGATCCTTGATTCCAGCGCCGTCCTTGCCGAGGCCTTCTCCTCGTTTCCAGCCCATCTTCTCCAGCATCCGTCTACCCTTATTCTCATCCCCGATTTCACTATATACACACAGTGAGAAAAAGCACAAGTCTGCGAAAATATCTTTAACCTTGATATTGTTACGCAAGAAATCTACTGTAGTGCAGATCTGTTTTACAGGGGTAAATGTTTGACTGAACAGGTTACGTACACATGAACAGAAGCAGGAGCGTCATCTCTCTGGAACGTTCCCTCGCTTCCAACTGTCTGCCGGCGGTTTTCTGCTCTATCTTTATACCTGCTGTTCTTCAGGGCCTTCTGCTCTTCATAATCACTACTCTGAAACACACACACGTAAGTCTTTATGTAAAACAAGCATAGTAAAATAATAAAAAGCAAAACCATCAGACCAATAGCAGTGCTGAAATTATGAACATCTTTAAACACAACAACAAAATCAAGTACATTTCCAGAGATATGCCTTATGAAATATATAACACATCAACAACAACCTAACAGCAATGGCACTGTAACAAACACAACTGGCTACAAGGTAAGGGTTGCAAGATGACTTAAAAATAATTAATAAAGTATCATACTTATATTAAAATAATCTAACTCTAATATGAATGTCAATGTTAAATATATAAAATTAAGATATGAACATAGTTATTGAAATGCCGAGAATCACAAAATCACAAAATTAATTTAATATACTAATATGCTTAGCTTCTGATGATACAAAAAAGTTTGAAAACAAGCAGCTGTCAATTACAGCAGAAATATCAGTAATATTAGACTACATGAGAGGGGCCTTTCATATAGTCGGATTTTTCATATTGTGTTGGACACAGGGTTATTATCGTTAACTAAAACTATAACACATTTTCATTACTTGAAATAAAATAAACATTAACATTAAATATCTATATCTATCTATCTATCTATCTATCTATCTATCTATCTATCTATCTATATATATATATATATATATATATATATATATATAGATAGATAGATAGATAGATATATATATATATATATATATATATAACTAGTGGTGTCAATTAAAGGTACGTAGGTAGGATTTTTATTAAAAAAAACTTTTCCAAATTTGTTTAAACTTTCTGTATATATCAATGCATAATTAAAATGTAAGTACTCTGAAAAAGAAAGTATAAAAATCCAATGTCTGTAGACCTCTCACGACTGTTTTAAAGACAGCTCATTATTTCCATTCACTCCACCCCCTCCCTTCTGGGCTCCTTCCAAAGCCACGCCCCAAAAACACATGAACTCGCGACTCCGACCGCTGAGCTGAAGACGCATTATTTACCTGAGACGAGCGGAGAGGAAGGAGCTCAGTGCATGTAGTGACATCATGTCAGAATCACATGTAATAAAAAAATCTAACTGTATCATTATGAAGATAAACAAATAAGATGTATTTTTGTACTCACTATCAAGCTAGCATATTGATATCGGTAAAGTTTAAAATATATATTTATTGATTCGCTAACGAGCTAGTTATCTATAAGGCAAAGCTAAAAACAGGTTGCATGATACACGTTTTTCCATTGCCATCATTTACACTGTGATGAAGATGAATTTCGTGTAAGATTCATAACATATATGGTGTTCTGCATGTAAGAGTTTCCATGATGAAAGCATTGTTGACTCTGATGAGGACTACACTCCAGAGCAGTGTTGGGAACGTTACTTTAAAAAAGTAATTAGTTATAGTTACTCACTACTTGTTCCAAAAAGTAACTGAGTTAGTAACTGAATTACTCTATAATAAAAGTAACTTGTTACCAGGGAAAGTAACTATTTGCGTTACTGTTAAAAAAAAAAAGTTGCTTTGTCAAAGAATTTTGATTTTTTTTAGCAGTTTTCACAAGTCAGTTGAAATGAGTAGAACAGACAGGTGTTTGTACATAACTTTCTATATTTATTGCACGTCGACACGACAGACAGCAAGAGGTTTATCCTGCACTTCACTTCACTTATTAACCCACCTCCTCACTAGCTGTGTGAGCCAGGGGTGCGTTCGGATTACACAGTTTATTCAATCAATACATAGTAACGCACAAAAACGCACTCGCGATTTTGTCACGAGTCATTTTGTACCCACCAGTTTTAGAAACAAATAAATAAAACATCTCCAGTTAACTAGCAGAGCATTCATTTAGTTCGCTATTAAATAAGAGATGTTTTGGTTTTGACCTCAAGCTGAGCGCTCGTTGCCGCAGCTGCATTTGTTCTCTTGTGGCGCGGGCGCAGTATTCACTCGGACGCGCTCTTCAATCTATCGCCGCTGTGGAGAGACTATTCATTCCGGTAAAATCACAAAATAAAATGCACTCAACCGTCCCGTGTCTCTGCTTGATATAGACTGTAACCACTGATGAACATATTCAGTTTTGATGAGAGAAAAAAAAACCCTATTCGAGCGTGGATTAGAAACTGTAACCTCTGACACGCTTGGCAAAAGTTCTACCACTAGACCATTCAAGAACTCACACAATAATTGTGGATCGATGGATTTATTTACGGGTTGAGCAGAGAGGCTCCACAGTTTGTAGGCTGCCCAGCATTTCTGAAAATGCACTTCCGAATGCATCTCTGTCTGTCCCCAGCACATTTCAAACCAAACTGACGCCCGTGGTAACGCATCGCATTTAACGTCCAGTAACGTTAACGGCGTTGTAACGACGGGAAAAGTAATTAGTTAGATTACCCCGTTACTGAAAAAATAACGTCGTTACCTAACGCCGTTCTTTTAAACGGCGTTATTCCAAACACTGCTCCAGAGACAAGTACCGCATCGTCAGCTCGAGGACAGATAAATCGTTGTTTATCCAAAGACTTTTTTTATCTTCCTTTTTTTGGCTGGTTTGCCTTCGCGAACTGCATATGTGAATTTTGATTGGTCTTTCTCTGCCATTGTTTTGCTATTCCTAGGTTCCGTGCCTCTTGAATTCCTCAAATCAAACGGATACGCACAAGTGGGCAGGTCCTGTCAGGCAAAAGGGTGGTTGCCATGGTTGCGAGAGAGTGACAGTCGCCTAAGCAAATCCTTTGTTTCATCCCGGATGGAAATAATGAGCTGTGTTTAGTGCAGATTAAACGGTCTAGAGTCACTCGATTTTTATACTCTTTTTATCAGAGTACTTACATTTTAATTATGCATTGACATATATAGAAAGTTTAAACAAATTTGGAAAAAAGTTTTTATAAAATTTCTACCTACAATACCTTTAACTAATTAATTGCACATTTTTCTTTAATCACAATAAAACGCACCTAACATTAAAGTTTTTAATATATTTTTATATTGAATCATTTCAGTTAATCTCCAAATGAATGTAGAAACAACAGACAGTTATTTTAAAAAATTGATCTAACAGGTAGGAAACACAGAAATTGAATAAAAGTTATCAAACACTTTACAGTCTTCACTGCATAAATTAATTTAAAATAGATTAATCCTTATTAAAGCTACAAAGGTTATTCTGTCAAGAGCAGTGAGTGATTTTCTCTGTCTTTTGTTCTTAGATTAACATTAATCACAGCAGCAGGATTATTAGGCCGCTGTCACTTTAAGATCTGAAGCACATGATGCGGATATGACATGTCTTTACAGTCTTTTAAGACTTTATTTAAATAATTTAAGATTTTGCTTACAAGGATACTCAAAGTTGCCATTTTGGAATACCGTGTGTGTCGCACAAGTCACGTGTGTGTGAGATTCACAGATTGAGCGCCGATACAGATTTAAGTTCCTTTTTTGCATCTTACCATGCTTAAATGGTTTAATAGCACTTGAATGAATGACAGCGTGATCATATACAGTAGCGCAGTCAAGATGAGGAAAAAAAATGGATGCTGCGTTAAATATTTTTTAAACGCATTAAACTGTAAAAAATAATCGCGTGCGTTAACGCGTTCATTTTGACAGCCCCCCCCAAAAAATTCAACTAGATGCAAAAAGCAACATTTCTCCTTTTTGTTTAGTTTAAGTTGAATTATTAAAATAACTTAACGAAAAAAAAAAAAAAAAACGAATTAAAATGACAAACACTAAACCACTAAAACTTAAAAATTAAAACAGATAATATATTAATAAAATCGAATTCAAAATATTAACAATAATTACAATAGCAAACCAGTGACCAAAACAAACACTGGTTGGAAAACTTCAAGTTAAAAAGGTTGAGAAGCACGGAGTAGCACAATCATTGCAGGACAAGTTATGTGCCAAAGTTTAATAATTGGGGTTAATGATTTACAACCCTTGGACAAAGTATGGACAATATTAATAGTGATGCTTGCCATAGCATGATATCTTGGATGACAGAACCATTGTTTTAGCGGTTAAATATTTGACCTGTTGTAGCTTGCAAGTTGCAACACCCAGGAATAGTGTGATCGTCTACTTGCTGACCAATAGAGGGCAGCACTGACCGCACACAGTTAACAAGCCAATTTAACACACCCGACTTGTGCTTTAAAACACATTTCACTACCAAAAGAGCTTGTACAGGACATAAAAACTTACTTTAAGACCATATTTAACCTTCATCATCTTCAGTTCCTTCTGTCTTAGAACCTCCTTGTCTTCTTTACTGAGAACAGTTCCTGAAACATACATGTATTGCAAAAGAACATAAGCTGCAATTGATTCATAGTAAAGCAGTTTAGAGATGTGTATAAGATAGCAGAAGTATTGACTAATATTTTGTCAATGTGTGCATGCATACCAGAGGTCTCATCTCTCTTATGGCGGCTCAGGTGTGCTATGATCTGTCCTGGTTCACAGCCGTCACATGTGTCTGTTCCTGTGTGGATGTGGAAGGACAACACCGTATCTCCCATCTTCACTTCATCCCCGTGGGTCAGAGGGCAAGGGTCACAGCGAACTTTAGGCTGTAGGGACACAGACATTTACAATTCTGATAAACATCCTCATATCGAGATATGTTCAAAAGGATTCTGGGATACAACAGCTGTTTGTGTTACCTGTAGTATTCTGTTCCCATTGAGGACAGTGCCATTCTGACTGCCCTGATCTATCAGCATATAACACTGCAGCTCCTGGTCAAAATAAACTTCTGCATGGGACTACACACACACACACACAAAAAGACAAAAGAGAGAGAGAGAGAGAGAGAGAGAGAGAGAGAGAGAGAGAGAGAGAGAGAGAGAGAGAGAGAGAGAGAGAGAGAGAGAGAGAGAGAGAGAGAGAGAGAGAGAGAGAGAGAGAGAGAGAGAGAGAGAGAGAGAGAGAGAGAGAGAGAGAGAGAGAGAGAGAGAGAGAGAGAGAGAGAGAGAAAGAGAAAGAGAGAGTAAATATGCTGTTAAAATGAATTCAAAATTAACCACATTTACTTTTTAAAACAAATTATCCTATTTCACTCAGAAATGCACTACTGTACAAAAGTTTGGGGTCAGTAATATTTTTTTGAAAAAAGAATTACTACTTTTATTCAGCAAGGATGCATTACATTTATCAAAACAATTTTTTAAAACTTTCTATTCATCGAAGAATCCTGAAAAAAATGTATCTGTTTTCATCATTGATAAATATAAGAAATGTTTATTGAGCAGCAAATCATCATACTAGAGTGATTTCTGAAGGATCATGTGACACTGAAGACTGGAGTAATGATGCTGAAAATTCAGCTTTGCATCACAGGAATAAATTATATTTTAAAATAATAATATGTATACATATTTTATGTAATATGTATGGATATTACAAAAGTAAAATGGGCTGCAACTGAAGGTTTAAAATACTTAGATGACAACATCTTTTTTTAAATAAATATATAAAAATTATTATTATAACTGAAACTAAAATAATTTTTTTAACTTAAAATAAAATAAACGTTAACTGAAATAGATTAAATATATATCTTTTTTATTATATTTTAAATATTTTTTATTTATTATATCTAATTTTATTTCAGGTAGTATTAAAGTCCACCTTTGGTGATTGAGTGGAGACGGGGCTAATTTGCATATTCATATAACCTCATATACTAAATGATGCAAAGGTGTAGAATTTTAAGTTCTTAAGTTTACATTTTATGTAGCTATTTTAAGGCATGAAGATTTTTTTCCCCCCCCAAAAAAAAGTTTACACGTGTAACTTTGGTGATCAAAGATGAGTTTTAAGGGATATAATTATTGATTACAGGGGGACTTTAAGGCAACATTTCCCATTTCCATTTAGTTTAACTAAATGTACTAAAATAAACGGAAATAAATTAATAAAAACTATATATACATATTTTACCAAACCAAAACCTAAGAAAAAAAAAATTACAAACGCACAACAAAATTACTGAAACTGAAAATAAACATAACACAAACATGAATTCAATTCATCTAATTCAAAATATTAATAAAAACTATAATAGTATCTCAAAGACACTAAAATAACACTGCCCTTATCTTGAGCACCAGGTGCAATTACTCCCGGGATTTAGAGAATATGTTTCAGTGTACTGAACAGACCTTCTATTAATGCAGGACTATAAATTGTCTGTAGTTTGATTTGAGGGTTTTCGTATAATGTTTTACCTTACTGACTCCCATCTCAGGGATTCTGATGGCATGATCCATGTCCTTCTCTCTGCAAACAGATACAGAAAAACATGTTAAAGAACACAATGGATGAACAGAACCACACACACAGAACTATACCGACCGGCCGATAGTGGCGACTGTGTCAGCCGTGAGGATGAAGAGCGTTCCGGTCTGCAGAACAGGAGAGCGAACCACAGTTACCCGAACACATGGCGGCCAGGCTTCTGAAATATAAGAATCACAAACATTACGGTTACGGATAGACAAAAATAAAATCCTACTGTAGTGCGCGCATTCACCTGATGCACATTCAATTTAACGCTGCATCTACAAGCGGCCAATACCAAACAAACAGCCACCAGGGGGGCGTAGTGTTCGATTCCCTCTGAATGTGCCTCCTCACCTTCCTCCTGTATCTGCATTTCCAGTTCTCTTTCAGGACTGTCCTGTGCTGGTTGGACGGGAGATGCAGCAGAGGATGATGAAGAAGGTTCGTTCCCTCCATCTGACTCTGTGATCTCGCCTTCCTCCGGCTCGCTCTCACCGCTCATGTTATCAGAGCGTGACTTCCGGTCTCTGCGAGTCTCAGAACGTGACCTCCTCTTCTCTTTTCTCTTCTTCTTCTTCCTGCTGTGCGTGTCATCTGAATTGGACCCGTTCTCTCTCCGCCTCCTGCTGTGCGAGTCATCAGAAGGCGACTCGCTCCGCCTCCGGGTTTTCTTTCTGTTCGTAGAGCGCTCTTTGCTTCTGTCACGGCTCTTGGTCCGCCTGGATCGGTCTGTACCGCTGGGTCGCTGGGGGCTTCGGGACCGAGACTTTCGTCCTTTTTTAAATGATGACGCATCATCCTTCTTACTTCTGTGGTGGTTTTCAGACTGTCTGTCAATCTCAGACCCCGCCTCTTTAAGGTCCTGTCAGTAAGCAAAGACTTAGCCAATCAGGACGTCACCAATAGTGACGTCACATTGCTTTGATGTGACCATATAAGATTTGTTTTGGCTTTCAAGTTTCATTTGAGTCTCAGTTTTGAGTCAGTTCAAGAAAATGTAATATATGATGCAAAACCACCATCTAAATCATCAACATCCAAACAGCGCTTTCCAATCTGGCTCAAGCCTTACATAATAGTTTGATGTACAACTTCATTGTAAAAAAAATAAAAAAATAAAAGAAATCAGGCAGAGAAGAGTGCGGCATGGGATAAAGAAATCCAGATTTGAAGAAACAAGCATGTGTGCAAACTGCTTGTCCACAGCTGACACCACATATGTCTTGGTAGTCAAAACACAACCAGAAATGTTAAACGAAAAAAAAAACGAAGACAAGCTTAATCAGGACTCTTTGATGAATAGAAAGTTCAAAGGAACAGCATTCATTTAAAATACCGTATTTTCCGCACTATGCGGCGCACCGGATTATAAGGCGCACCTTCAATGAATTACCTATTTTAGAACATTTTTCATATATAAGGCGCACCGGATTATAAGGCGCATAAGACACTGCAGTCAAACGTTTGACTGGGTTTGCGTTATGCATACACTAGATGTCAACAAATGTCAACAAAACAGTCCGATAAAGTCAAACTTCATTAAGCGTTCTGACAACTCCGTTCACTCCCATGGTAACGTTGTTCAAACGTTAAAGGAAAACTCCGGTCAATTTTAACATTGAGCTCATTTTTTGTAAATTTGGAGTGCTGTCAGTACAGATAACAACGACAAAAACCGGTGTTGCCTACACCGTGTTATCCTCTTTTTAAAATTTGCACCCTGTTGACTTAAACGGGACAAGTTTTAAACCTGCTTTTAGCCTCTTAACAACCTTAATGTGTCATTACAAGTGCACAGCCATGTGAGTGAACACGGTGAATCTGACAGCACATACCCGTATTTTCTTCCTGTTTTCGGTCGAAGTCCACAGTAGGCGATTGTCGAGTGCGCGCGCGCGATCATTGGTAACTAAGCAACAGTGGAGACTCAGACTGTCAGCTGTCAGCCGATGACGGTGCTGTGTGGTGTTCTGAGAATATCAGCTCAAATGGATAGTTCATCTGGATCAGATGTTGAACACACGGAGGAGGTTTGATCGCGCGCGCAAACTCGACAATCAACTACTGTGGACTTCGGCCGAAAACAGGAAGTAAATACGGGTTATGTGAGCTGGCTGAATAAAGAGATTATTCCTGCCTTCGTGAAAGCTCGGATCACAGTTGAGACTGATATATCAGCCCAGGCATCCACGATCCATTGGCAGATAGTGGCGTAAGTCGCTCGGCGCTGTCTCCCCGTCTTGGTGAACGTGTGTTCCCCATCCATATATAAGGCGCTCCGCATTATAAGGCGCACTGTCGGTTTTTGAGAAAATTAAAGGCTTTTAAGTGCGCCTTATAGTGCGGAAAATACGGTAGATGTTTTCTGTAACAATATAAATCTCTTTACTGGTAAACTGAATTCAATGCATCCTTGCTAAAAGTATTTAGCCTGGCTCCGCCCTCTTACGTACTTCCGCTCAATTTTCATTTTCCTTCAGTACTACGTCTGGGCTTGTGGTGCATTCTTTGGTTTTCTCCGGTCAATTTTTTACCGGTCCAATCGGCAAACAGAGGGAGTGTCTGAGAACGATGACGTTGATGTCATGCGCTAGTTTGAGTCGTCATACGTCACGACCAAACGTTAGCGATTGGTTATGGCAGATCCAGAGGGACTCTGGGCAGATCCAATAGTTTTAAACTTCAACAGAGGAACCGCCTACAAGGAAGTTAACGCTTGTCAATGGAGCGAGGCCAGACTCTCTGTAGAAATGAAATGTACGACAAGTCTGGTGGGACCAGGCTAAAAAGTATTAGTATCTTTAAAAAGACCCCAAACATTTGAAGAGTAAGGTTAATAAAACCTAAATTAAAAATGAAGATGCACTGAAATGACTTAAGCTTGTTACGACCATTTAGGCCTAGGGGAAAAAATACTAAAACTCTATATAACTTTAAAGCTATAAACAAGTGCGTACCTCTCACTCCAACCAGTCTCAAATGTTCTATCTTCAACTGAGCCATTGAGCAAGTCAAATCCTGAACCTACAGCGAAAGAAGAGCACACGGTCAGCTCCATCAGGCATTATATTTTCAGAATTGCTCGACGGACCCGCTTCTGAGACCAGACTGTTCTACGGACCCTCACAATCATCAACTGCTAATCAATGAGAACAAGAACCAGACGCCAAAAAGCTGTCTGTGATTGAAACAATTCTGAAAACTGAGACTCAAAATGGTGGGAAACTTGATTCAGAAACTCAACTTGAACTTGAAATGGGAAATCAAGTCGAGGAAGGTAAGGGGGATTGAGAGTCAACCACTAAATCTCTGTGATTACAGAACTATGTAAAGACAATGTGTGTCTGTGTGCATCTCACCCCTCCATCAGGACAGGAAGCTCTATCTGTGTTCTTCACCGACTTCCTGTTTTTCCAATCTTTGGTCTTCCTCTGTGGCGTCTGCTCCACTTCGGGCTGTGCTGTAGGCACCTCTATCCTAGAGTGGAATTGGTATTTCCCGCTTTCTGGGTCGTAGTAATAGTACATTCCAGTGTTAGCATCATAGTACAGCTGACTGGACTGGTGGAAAAGAGGAAAAAACACATTAACACAGGCGATTAAGATTACACATGTCGATTACACAAATAACAGCAGTCAAACGTCCCCAGAAAAACAACAACTTACAGAGTCGTAGTAAAATCCAGTGCTGTGGTCGTAATACATGCCGGAACTTTCATCAAACACAAAGTTGGTCTGGTTCAACGCTTCCTCTGCTGTTGCTCTCAGCATGTCTGCTATAGAGCCGCCTTCACCAGAGGCCTCCTGAGAACAAATACAGTGTTTACACAGTAAAGAAACTGGCTAATAATTATTCACATTACAAGCTGTCAATTGCTTATATTTGTTTTGGATACATGTTTGAACATTTTGGTCATAATTTGAGACTTTTTTTGCCTACATGTTTGATTGTTTTGATCATACTTTTAGACTGTTTTGGCTGTATGTTGTGGTATTGTGGCTATGTTTTAAACTTCTGGAAATCTGTTAGTATATCTTAATTTAGATTATTTAGGCCTTATTTAAAAAATGTTGTGACAAGTTCTATCATTTTATATAATACAACTAAATTATTTTTAGCTATTATTTATATATATTAGGGGTGGAACGGTACACAGAAGTCACGGTTCGGTTCATACCTCGGTTCAGACATCACGGTTCGGTACGATTTCGGTACAATGGAGGGAAAGCAAAACAAAAATGCAGAAGGCATTGTATTTTTTAAATAAGTTTTATTATTAAAGGACTAGAACCAGTTTATTTGTAGTGCACTGACAATAGTTTTTTATATGATTAGTTTATTAATTAAATTAATAAAAAGACAAAAAGACCTTGCGATATGTTTGGTAAATGTATCTGAATTAATTTAAAATTAATTTGCTATATTTCAGATCAATATATTTGTTTTCCTTAATTTTAATTAACATTATTAATTAACAATGTAACATTATTCTCATCTGAATTATAAATAATTGATTTCTGTATAAAATAATACTACCATTAAAAACAATCTTTTTTAATCAATGTAGAATGTGTAAGATTAGTGCTCCGAGGACAAAAAATGAAAACCAATTCAATATGATGAATGTCCAAAAGATGGGACCCACAGACTGTTTTGAAATGGAGTTGGATAAATATGTTTTGCTTTTAAAACTGTGTGTGTGTGTGTGATTTTGGTTGGGTTACAGTTGTAGGTTAGGACAAGAGTTTACAGTGTGACAAAATCACAATGTTGTGTTTTATTGCGAGTGTAAACAAATATAAACACTTTGCAGGTTTTAACACACACACACACACACACACACACACACAGAGTTCGTTCGCGCCTGCGCATCTCTCTCTCTCTCTCTCTCTCTCTCTCTCTCTCTCTCTCTCTCTCTCTCTCTCGCGCGCACACACACACACTCCGGCATTGCAATATTGACATCGCAGCCCATTATGCGATCACACCAGACGCGAATAGACCGTCAAATTCGCGTATATGGCATCTAGTTCGACGCTAGTCCAAAGCGAATAGGACGCCCGTATAAACCCAACGTTTGAAGTGAACGCGCGTTCAGAGCTAAGCCGATGGTACAGATTATGTGTCCCTAAAGAACCCGCGTATCTAACAGTAGTTCCGTATTACATTAATTAATTTGCACGCGAGTTTTATTTATTTTTATACCGTGTATTCTCCGTGTAAATTCGTGCACCGAACCGTGACGCCCGTACCGCTTCGGTTCGATACGAATACATGTACCATTCCACCCCTAATATATATATATATATATATATATATATATATATATAGGGGGTTGGGGCATATTCGGCAATATTTCACACTTTTTGTGATGCTACATTATTTTAGCCATAATATAGATTGTTTCGTTCTTACTATATTTCAGATTATATTGGCTATGTTTTAGACATTCTGCATTATGTTGGATGAATTTGGCTTTTAAGGCCCGTTCACACCAAGGACGATAACTAAAAAGATAATGATAAAGATATAGTTATAAAAATCTTTCTCAATATTAAAGAATAGCAGAGTTCACATCACAATCACAGCTATATCGATAATGGCACAGAGAAATGATTTGGTTAGAATCTCTTTCAGAACGATTTTATCCAGCTGATGAACGATAAAAACATTGACAGCCTATCAGAATCCATCCTGCTATAATGAGCTCGACTCGAGCATTTAAAGTGGCAGACAAGCACGGGCTTAGAATAAACAGAACGATACTGACCACTGGTGTGGACGCTAATATAGTTGTCGTTTTTGGTGTAAACGGGGCCATTAGAGTCACATTTTGCCAGTGGTGGAATGTAACGAAGTACAAATACTTCGTTGCTTTACTTAAGTAAATTTTTCACGTATCTGTACTTTACTTAAAGGCCATCTTTCAATTTAATTGTATAACTTAATTTATACAGAATCTTGTATGAAAATGTCAATTTAAAAAGACATACATAAGAATACATATGTTTTACAACACCCACAGGCAGAAATTCAGGAAAAAGTGTACCTATTCTAAGCTAGGCTCAAAAAACCGCGCTTTTCCAGAGAACGCGTCATATGACGCAACGACAGGCAAACAAATAGGCATTGCTGCCCTGGTTCTCAGTGTGGGTTTACGTAGTCTGAGAGGTGGTACAGAAAATAGAGCTTGTAGTTATCGTTATAACGTTAGTTGAGTTGGTTTGAATTGTCACAATGGTGAATTCTTGTGTTTGTTTTGGATGCAACCACTCCAACTTGTCTGGTCATCGGGTCCACCGATTTCCAAACAAGAAACACAAAGATTTCCGTGCTTGGATACGTTTCGTCCAGGCAAAGAGAAGCAATTTCTCTGCCTCCTCGGTGACAAGACACACGGTGGTATGTGAAAAACACTTCACACCGGATGGGAACGGGCGGTAATGGTCAGAAATTCGGCGGGCGGGAACGGGTGGTAATGGTCAGAAATTCGGCGGGCGGGATCGGGTGGTAATGGCATTTATCTGCATGCCTTACACCTAGTCCACTTGACAATAAAAGATCCTTGTAACAATGACTATATTTACATGAACAGCATATTCCCGTCCTAACCGGAACACTAACTGCTTTCATACACATACTCCGCAGTACATGCAAACTCATTTACATAATGTCCGTCGGAAATACTATGGGAGTAGTATAACAGCCGGCTAAGTTCGGAAAATCTGGGATCTAAATTAAACATTTTAAGACGCATGTTGCTAGCATAGATGGTGACAATATACATGGATGCTTGAAAAACAACAAAGTCGACAGCAATATTGCTAAATACGATTTATTAAAGATACTGCAATGTGATAAACATGGAGACAACGTTAGCCACAATTAGCTAGCTATAGCCTGTGGTCACTCACCAAGACACCTGCATAATTCTCCACCGATTCTCCTCACACCACAACTCTATCTCTCTCCTCTGTCCATTTACCCTTCCCCTTAACTCTGCCTGACCCCTCTCTCACCTAGGTGGCTCATAATTATACGGCAATAGCCCATCGGAAGAGTTGACATGAACTCCTACTGCAACCTCTTCAATGGCTGACTCCATTACGAAGAGATGAGATTTACCGGCCGTTGCGTCACGTCCGATCAGAGCGTTTTTGACAGCGGAAGTAATTTTACTCACAATTTCTTTTAAAAAACTTTTTTAATGCACATTTATGATTAATTTCTTCACGCAAATCAAGTTCCTACACCATTTATCTACACATCTATTCACAGGGATCTTCAACTTGAAAGATGGGCTTTAAGTAGAATCAATAGTGCATACTTTTTACTTTTACTTCGTTACATTTTGCAGCAATTATTATACTTTCTACTCCACTACATTTCTACAACGTTCTGTTACATTTTCTGATCAGTTTTTCCCCTGCCAAATCTGCCTCTGATTTAGATTATATTTATTGATATAGATTATACAAATTATATTTTACTCTGTGCTGGATTATTTTAGGCATATGTTTTGGCTAGATGTTGGAGTTTGACTGACTGTAATAATCAACATAAGCCGCGTTTCCAAACTAGGAACTAGGGACTTTGGGGTGATACTCGGTGTGTTTCCACTGCAGGAACCAGGGTCTAAATGAAGTTCCAGGTAAAAATGTCCCCCTCAGAAACTCCCTGCTTAGCGTGGTAGTACTTTTTCAAATTTCAGGAACTTGCAGGGGTGGGACTTGGGCGCTGAACATGCTGATTGGTTGAGTTCATGCCGCATTTTGATTGGTTGATTCCACAAAGCATTTTATTTCAACTGCCATTTTTTAAAAAAATCTGTGGCGGTGCTTTGGCAGTTGGGTCTGTTCGAGGTCGGATCACGTTCTCACCACAAACGAACCGCTCCAGAGTTCATTTGAAAGCGTACCGAGACCACCTCTCCGAGGAGATCTCGGTATGCTTGTTTGGTCACCTTTTGGTGCGCACCCGAGTGCGACTGCTGCATTCACACCAGCCCAAACTAAGCGCACCAAGGGGGACAACGAACTCTAGTGCGATTCAACTGAACTAAATGAGGCGGGTGTGAAAGCACCCTTAAACACTCTTTTTTTTTTAAACTTTCTGAATGACTTACAACAGGATTTTGTAGAATTCACTTGAATATGCAATACGCAAACCATGTCAATACCATCATTAATAAATGCCTAGATCTGTTATCAGAATTAAATAACACTTAAATAAGTAACATTTCTCATACCTCTGTTTGTGGTAAGTCACTTGATTCATTTGGTTGCTCAGGATTGGCTGGTGCCGTCTCAGCTGTTATGGGATGGTCCTCAGTGTGTTCAAAACACTCTTGTGTTTCCATGACAACATTCTCCTGTGTTTCTGCTGTTGTCTCGGTTCCTGACTGGTAGTATCCACCATAGTAATAATTATAATAATCTGTTTCAGAAAGAAAATAACATTCAAACCTCACATATACGGTGTAGATGATTGAAATATTCCAGGCATAGTTCACCCAAAAATGAAAATTCTGTCATCATTTACTAACTCATGTCACTCATGAACACAAATTATGATTTTTTTTTTATGAATTCTGAGAGATCTCTGTCCCTCTATTGAACGTCTATTCACCCAAAACCCTGACACTTCAAAACGTTCATAAACAGATCGTAAAATAAATCCTTTATTCTACGAGGGGATCATTTTTGTCTTTTAGAATGCAGTGGGATTATATATAAATAACTAAAGTAACTAAATAACGAAAAATAACTAAAGTCTTATGAGTTTGGAACGACATGAGGGTGAGTAAATAGTGACAGTTTTCATTTTTGCGTAAACCATCTTTTGTTCAACGAAATAAAAGAGCCTCACCTGTCTCTGTCCAGGCAAACTCCTCTGTCTGAGTCTCAGAATCAACTTTCTCCCTCTCTCTTTTCTTTCGCTCATGGATTTCTCCACTCAGTTTATCAACCTAAATCACAAAGATAAAAAGCAACATATGTTATCAACAATGTTCTTGTGTTGGCATGTTTTTGGGAGTACACTAATCATAAAAATGGCCTAAAAAAGGTAACAGTCTTGTTTCCACAAAAAAACAACTCCCCCAGTTCTCCACGAGCACCCGGCTCACCTGCTGTCTGAGATCTTCATTGTAGCTTTCTGTGGTCTTCTGAAGTCGTTCGCTTTGGCTGAGCTGTTTCTGTAACTTCTGAAGTTCATCTTTACATGCCTTCAGATCCTGTCGCAGCGCCTCCGCTTGTGATTTCAAAGAAACGAGCTCTGCTTGCAAACCCTGATCATTGGGTTCAGGGTCTGGTTTTCCTTCTGCAGCCATTGCTGAGGACGTTCTACCTAAAATATAGATTAGAATAAGAAAGTTTAGTTGACTAAAATTATTATTCTTTAGATTCAAATCACCATGTAACACATTAAATATAGTCATAATAAAATGATACACTGCAAAAATTATTATTAATTTACTTTAGTATTTTTCTCTTGAAGGGGTCATATGCACTTTTACAAGTTGATTGTACTGAAATGTGTGTTGGCAGTGTCTGTACACAACCATCATTTAATGATAAAAATCCATCCAGTGGTTTTGTTTTATTCTCCTTATATGTTTTCCCCTGCCTCAAATCGAGCCGTTCGAGCCTGTGACGTCACAAGCTCGCACGCCCCTCCCACGATTGTTGATTGACAGGAGCGTTTCAACACAGACCCGCCCTCGCTCATGAGGGAGCTGTCAATCATAGTCTACCACTGTCTATGAGCAGAATGGCGTCTAAGCGATTGTGGTGTTCTGTTCTTGGGTGTAATAACAAACACAGCAGTCATTTTAATGTTCCTAAATCCGAACCGCTGAAGACGCAGTGGCTGTGTTTGTTTTCGAAGGGAATATTCCCCACGAGCAACAGCAATGCTCTCATGTTTGCGCGAATCATTTCACACACCAGACTGCTTTTTAAACGAGGATCAGTATAAAGCTGGATTTGCTAGGAAGCTGCTCATGAAAAAAGGATCGGTACCAGATATTTGTGTTCCTGCTGAATCTCCAGAAGAACGGAAGTGAGTGTAACGTTTTATTAAACTTTATATTAATATATTAATCTTTGCAAATCGCTAGCTGCACGCTTCACAATGAATGCGTCTAAGGTTTACACTCAGGGTACATTACGGCATGTTTTCTATGTATGACGTTCTCAATATAATTCATAATCCCACGTTTATACTGAACAACGCATTATGGTTATTGTGTTACAAATGGTGTATGCACAGAACAGAGAGGCGGAGTCAGCAAAGAAGTCATATGCACTGAAACGGCGTGCTGAAAACAGAGCTGTTTTTGACCAGCTAAAATAAGTGTTTTCTTACAATACTAATGAGAATTTTTAATTAAAGTAGGCTATATTACAAACTTTTAATTTAGACCCTAAAGAATCATATTAGCTTGTACAAAAATGGCATTATATGACCACTTTAAAACAAGTCATCTCATTTGTGTCTATTTACATCCAGTCTCAATCTAAGACAAAAATCTATAGAGGGAATGCATTAACGTCACTTCCCCGCCGGAACACGCCCCCCCTCAGCGCGACTGAGTGGCAGAAGAGCTGCTGCGTGACTGGAGTTAATAGGGGAAACTGCGTTAACGCGAGTAAAACAAACTATTATCAGTTTAAACTAAAAGTTGGACTCGATATAGTGTTCCTTACAACTTATCAAAGATCCAGTGATCCATGGATATTGACATGCAGCCAGGAATCGTGTTTCCTGACATTTATATGTGCCTGATTTCGACGCCGGGGAAATAAATGAAGACAATTTGCCTGTAAACGTTTTATATAAATACAATATAGATAGGTCTAAATCCGAGTGATCACTTACATTAATGTTATATTGTATATCATCATATCGTCCAGCCCTAAAACTTGTATAGTTTTTTGTCAGTGTTTATTTAAAAACATCTAATTATGCAGAATATAGTCTGTTCTGTAGCTTTTTGCAGTCTGTAAAAATATACAGTACCTCAGATTTCTGGTCAAATCTAGTTGTACAGTCAATCGCAAAGCTCTTTCCCGTTTTAGATGTGTTTTGTGTGATTTTCACGGCGTTCACGCTGAAAACAAATGCTGCCGCTCAGTCTTTTTGCCACTTGTGGGCGTGACCGCATTCACTCCGGCCGACGGTGACGTCATGCGCATACCCTCTATTCACCCTCACATAAAATATGTCTTTAAAAGTACAAATATAGAGCTGCATTTATATATTTTAGTAAGTGAGCTACTAGCAAACGTCATATTTGGGGTACCTTGCATCAGCAAGTTTGAAAACTACCGTAACTAGATACGTTTAGGATACCGTGAGTAACGTTATGCATAAACTAAAAACAATTCATTTAAACGACAATAATCTGAGCACAAATTCACAACAATCAACCAAACGACATCTCTAATTTTAATATACAGTTTAAAAATATAGAATAAGAGTAAGTTAATAAATAGAAAAGTTGTAATTTGAATTAGGGCACACGGCACATTTGATTTGATTTGCACATTATCCTCACCGTTTTAAACCACCGGTTTTCTCTGCGCGTTCCCAGACTTCCTGCGCGCACGTCAATCTGCAAATCAAAGATAAAAATCATTTGACCAGCGTGCATTGGACACATATTCGTGTAGAAGTTTGTGTTATCGTAAAGTGCGTTACAGGGAACAAACGCGATGAACTTTAGTCCCACTTCAACGGACGCTGCCATACTTTCACTTTGTGATGTCATGGCTTACTTACTCCTGCATCACTTCCGTTTGTACTATAACGCCACAGCGCCGCTAGTGTAAAACACTGGCATTACTGCACTGACAACCTTAGAAAAGAAATTTGAAATGACAAATGATTTTTCCTTTTTTAATATGCAAATAAACCAGACTGGTGATACTTACAGTTGCCCATGATTTACAAACAAAATGTATTATAAATCAGAAAGTAGGCCTATGTATAATACAAACAAAACCATCCTGTGAAATAACATGGTTGAGAAACGAATGTGCAAAGTTTGTTTAAAAAAAAAAAAACAGATAAAAAAAACAGCCTTTTATCAGTTACAAAGGACATCAAATAAGAAACTTAGCCTGAAACCTAAATAACTGCAGAGGCCTGATACAATAAAACATGAAGAAAATATAAATAAATGCACTTTTTTTTTCTCATGTGACCCCTATAAATTGGCCCCTGTGTTGTTTTTAATAAAGTGTCTACTCTACTTTATGCCAAAGAAGCTCAAATACTACATATTTAAAACATTGAGTGACAGTTTGATTTTGGGCAGCAGAGGGCAGCACAGGCCCTTAGTTTCAAAGAGATGTTTAAAAATCTTTTGAACAAACTGTTTCTCGGTGTTGAATGTCACCACCTTCCTGTCTAAAACGTTCTGAGTTTGGAAGCCAAACAACTGACTGTGTGACGTCCCTCATGAAGCAATTTTATTCAGAATATAAGACTAAATCAAATTAAAACTGTGTTTATTCTAACACCTGTGTCAGGCATGGTAAAGAAGATGAGACCACAGGTGCATTTATTATGAGAGAAGCTTAGAGCGCTGTAATAGACAGGAAATAAAAGACTTGACAGCCTGAGGAAATCAAGGGCGAGAGATTTGCTTTTCTTTTCCACCGCGTATGTCGCCTCAAGCGCTAGCTAATTGACATTTGCATCAAGAGCATAAGAAGGCCTAACGGAAGTACATCCCTTATTAAAAACAAAACTGCAAACAAGATATCTGCGAGGCAGAAACTTAACAATTTACAAAAGCAGGATGTTCATCACATGAAGGAAGAGAGTTTCTTTAATTAGACACTACAGTCAGAGTTGAAACTTCATTAAATTGACAGGTTGAAAAACTTGTCATGAGTGACACACAGATACGCACATACACACTCATTCAGCGGACACACTAACAGCTGACACTGATGACAGAACGTGTGAGTGTCATGACCCACAAGTAAACCCTTCCCGTTAACAGTACATTACAGTAAACCGTCCATCTCCATTGACTTATGCAATATCGTTTTACTTTGTAGCTAGCTATGAGCATATACACATAATTAGTGGTATTCGTTAAGTCAAGCATCACTACTACTTATACTTAGGGTTACTGATTTAAAGTCTGAGTTAAAGATAATATTTTCTTCTCTGTTGTGATGTATATCCAAGTAAAATGGCTTCTTGAATGAAAGAAAATGTAGAGAGAGGCTGCATCCGAAATCATTGATTAAATTATACCTTAAAATGACCGGATTTTGCCTGCGAAAACTCGCCGAACACTGGTAAATGTTACTCCACCAAATGGGCGATATAAAATATTATAGAGACATGGAGGTGGGAAATTTGGACTTAGGTCAGTAAGCAACCACACAAAACACCTTAGCAACCAGAAAGCAACCCCCTAGCAACCACCAACAACATTTGTGCAGGCAAAAACCACTCAAATACAATGCTTGTTACATCATGTGACTAAACTTCTACACTGTAAAAAAAAATCGGTTAAATTTACGGGGAAAACCTGGCAGCTGTGGTTACCAGAGTTTTCCTGTTAAAAATACGGTAGCAAACTTTTAGGTTTTACAGACTTACAGACAAACCATATATAATTTTACAGCAATAAACCGTATTTAATTATCTTATATAATGTAAATTTACTGACCTTTTGAAGTATTAATATCTGTTTTGTTCCATTGTAATACACTGACAGCCAACAATCACAGCAGTGATGAGAGTCACATGATCAATCAAAGCTCATCATAAGCAGCTCTTCCACAAGAAAGTTAATGCTAAGAAGCTGCACAGTGTCATTCACACAAACATTAAACACCATTATGGTAACATGTTGAAATTTTAAAAATGCAATAAGCATTAATTTAACAACATTAAATGTAACATAAAACCCTAATGTACATAACTGATTAGAAAAAAACTAAGAAAATTATGAAGAAACAGTTATTTAAAAAAAAAAAACATTAAATGTGAAGTGTCACGAAGGGAATTGTGGGAATGTCAATTTACATTTTTTCACTGTAAATTATACAATGACTTGTTCTTTTTCACTTCCAAAAACTGTAAATTTAACGGTATTTTACAGTAAAATTACATTAAATGTACCATGATATATATCACAGTTATTTACCGTATATAGTAAGGAAACTTTCTGTTAACCAATTAACAGTTTTTCACTGTAGCATTTTTACAGTCTTTTACCGTTAAAATCACGATCATTTTTTACAGTGTACCACATGTACGAACGAGAGTGAGTGGACACCATAGAAAGCTGGTTATGATTGCATAAACTATTTCGATGTCACCAGTGCCATTTGAAAAGTGGAAAAGAATGTAAAGGTTTTTGTGTCATTAAGTCAGAGGTCAAAAGGTGCTTGCATCCAGGATGAACCCTGCAGTGTTTGTGTGACCTCACTCAACTATCAATCATCTGAGATAAAAAACAGCAATGGATAACGGATTAATATATTATTTTTTCAAGATTGCGCTATCAAATAAACAATTACAAAAAGGAATAAAATGGATGCCGCAGGGATAAACATAGACACAGAGATAGTTTCTTTTTTGATCAGATATGATCCGCCTCGTTCTCATATTCCCCGCACCAAGAATTCAATCAGCGTTTGTTTGTGCATGGAATTGCTGCTTGTTATAGTGTCATAAATGATAAAAGATTCCTGTTGTGCACTCGGATTTTAAAATGCAAATGCCCTTTCTGATGAGCTCAGCGCGTCGGGGCTGTTGCACCCTTTTGCAGAGAAGAGATTAGCCTGTGTGTGTGTGTGTGTGTTTGTGAGGAAGAGTGTGAATGGGTTTGTCGGTGCAAGGCATGTGTATGTGTGTAGGGAGAGTATGTTTATTCTGCTCTGTCCTGGAGCCAAGCATATCATGCCTCTGTGAATGTGTGTGTGTGTGTGTGTGTGTGTGAGAGAAGTATCATACACACAAGGGAAGGCTCTGCAGGACTTGCATTATAATGACATGGAGTTGTGCGTAACAACAACGTCATCCTGGCGAGGAACAGCTCTCCAAAAAACACAAAGCGCAGAGATAATATCACACCAAACAGCTCATATCCCCCACTATCAGAACTTACATCAGTTTGTCCTCTGTAATATTTGGAAGAGTACTGTAGGGTTATTATAGGTAACTAAAGCTAAAAACATTTTTGTTAATAAAATACATTTTACCTGAGAAGCACTATTATTAAGTGAATGTATATTTAAACTACAACGGCTCAAACACTAGAGGGAGCCGTTTACACAACACCTTTTTCCAACTAAAAACGTCAAACTTTTTATGCGTTTTGGCCGTTCATTTATACGACAAGTTTTTGGGGGCCTGAAAATGCAAACTTTTGAAAATGGGTTTCAAAGTGTACGTTTTTGAAAACTATCGCCTACCATTATCGTCTCTGTTTAAACTACAAAAATGTTAAATTGTGAAAACGGTGAAGTCATGCGCATGTGTATTACGTGTTCAGGCTATAGGTGCATATAGTGTTTCTTTACAAAGTGACATCGCCAAATACACGCCTGGCATGAATAATACAATGTTTAGTGGTTTTCGCGGATACGTGTAAACGGGAATCATTTTGACAACACAAAGGAAAGACCTTTCCGTTTTTAGCGTTGTCAGAGAAAGTCTAATATAAACGTACCCTAAAAATTTAAAACTTTTTATGCGTTTTGGCCGTTCACACAGGTTTGGGAACCTGAAAACTGTACTTTTGAAAATGGGTTTAAGTGCAAGTTTTTGAAAACTATACAATTTTTGTCTCCAAAACGCTAATTTCTGAAACCAGCGATGTCATCTGCATGCGTATTACTTGTTCAGGATAGGTACGTAGTGTCTCTTTATAAAGTGACATCGCCAACTACTGGCCTGGCATGAATAATACATCATTTTTACTCCTTTCCTTACTCAAAGGAAAAATGTTTCCACTTTTGAGTACATCATTGTTGTGGAAACATACCCTAAGAAGACTTTATCAAAACTCATGAGACTTTTGCATGAGACCCATGAGACTCTTCCAGTGGGCACAGAAGCACGTTCGCGTGCTCATCCGATACCGTTTCCGGTGTTCCCGTGCTCACAGTTTCTTGAAAATATTTTTTTCTATTGTGTGGACGCAGAAGTTAAACATCATTTTAGGGGCTCAGTATTTTGCATGTGATGCGAGTCCTATCATTGGTGGTGAGTAGGCCTATTGGTATTTTTCTTATGAGAAACACCTTAGAAGAAATGCTTTTTTTAAAAAGCTTATTGGTTAGGAGAAACAATTGAGATACTAAAAAATACATTTACCTTTGTAAACTGTATTTTTGTTGATAGGTGTGATATTACTTAAAAATAAATAATAAAAAATGGGCAAAAAAATCCCATGGAATTACAGCACATTTTTTCCTCGGAAAACATGGAAATGAGAAGCTCAAATATAGAAGTTCTCATGTGTTTACTGGAGGAAGAATAAAATATAGTCTTGAATTAAAAGTAACATATAAGTGAATACAAAGTTGAATGACGATACTGACTTGAGGAAGAGTCCTGGATCTCATTCATAGCCTTCTGCTTCATCAGACGCTCAGGCTGATGGACACAGCAGATGAAGAGCCAGAGGGCAGAGAGGCTACATGCAGCCAGAATCAGACCTGAATATCATGAAGGATCTATATTTAGAGATCCCATTAGAGCCTTTTTTAGACGCATGGAGAAGACATGCACCAA